TAAAAGAGTTATGAACAGAAAGGCTTAGATTTGTGTGCTGAGTGGGTTGGGCTTTTGGGGGTAAGCTGATGACAAATAAGACATCTGTTGGTTTCATAAGCATTTCTGATAAATAAAATTCCTGGCTGAACTGCTGAAGAAAGGCCACAGAGCTATGCAACGGAGTGGGATTCAGTCACATACTAGCAAATTCTGGTTGCGCAACAGTGGTTGGTTAGGAGAGCTCGTGTGACAAACCCGCTTCTCCCGAAGACCAGAGTTTCTACAGTAAGGAAAGTGATGGAGAAATGAACTAGAAATTGTGGGATAACACTTGCTTCGATTCAGCGTCATCTAACCCCCACAAGCAAATCAGAATGAATGCTCAGTAAACAACCAGCAATGTCTCATCTACCTGAAAACAAATCAGGATGAATGCTCAACAAACAGGTGATATGGGAACGCTCTGAGAGAGAGAGAGAGAGACAGACAGACAGAGAGAGACAGAGAGAGAGAGAGAGAGAGAGAGAGAGAGATGGCTATTCTAAAGATGGTCATTTCACTCTTTGTCCTTTCAGAGCTGCTGAGACATTTTGATGCCTGTGGCAAAAGACAAGATGGCTACCTCTCCCAGTTACAAAAATCCAACCATATTGGCTGCTGAACCTTACTTCAGCACTGGCAACAGAGCATCCTCCTTCACCACACCTGAGGGTTCATTTGGAGCAGGCATGTCCAAAGTCCGTTTCTGGGGCCTAATCCGCCCCGCCGGCCGATTTAATCTGGCCCCCTGGCAGTATATGTCCTGGGCTAAAAGCTCAACAAGTTTGGTCGGCCCTCACAAATGTTCACGTCATCAAATCTGGTCCTCTTTGAAAAAATTTTGGGCACCCCTGATCTAGAGGGTGCATAACAGGCCACATAGCTCATACAGCTCCATACTTCAAAACCTCACCACCAATCCACATCCTCCAGTATCTGTGCCCTGGGGCTGCCATGTCACTCTGCTTAATGGTCTGGCCCTGCAGTAATATATCTATAGCTATATCATCTATAAATGGTGTTTCTGTGCGCTGCTCTGGTTTCGCCAGAAACGGCTTAGTCATGCTGGCCACATGACCCAGAAAAACAGTCTGCGGACTATCGTCAGCTCCCTCGGCCAGTAAAGTGAGATAAGTGTCGCAACCCCAGAGTCATTCGCGACTGGACTTAACTGTCAGGGGTCCTTTACCTTTACCTTTATATCATCTAGATCTATTTTTTTTTCCGGGGGGGGGGTTATAAAATCTATAGTACAAGAGGCATAGCTGTCAACTTTTGGATTTGAAAATAAGGGACCAGCAGCCTCACCTGTCCCAGGGACAGTCTACGGGATATCTAACAATCTGGGATAGCAGCAGGAAGCAGCAGGAAACGGCGCTGGAATAAGGGAATTTCCCGCAAAAAAAGGGAAGGTTGACAGCTATGGCAAGAGGGGGAGTCAGCACTACCCATTTAATTTTTTGTACATACAGAATATTCTGGTTATTATAAAATGTGTATGTGTTAGCACCAGCTCTGCCATTTTGGGTGGGTATAATGAGAAGCTATATGAAAAGCTTGTATTCTTGCCAAGCCCTTCTTTGTTCCCATGAAGAGCACGGCTCACTCAGTGAAACATTTCAGTCACATAATTTACCTTGGCTTGAATAGCGAACGCTTCATCGGTTCATGAATCCTGCCCTTGTTTTAATTATGCAGCTTCCTGAATGTAGTTTTGTGGCGCTTGAAAATAAGGCCATGGTTCAGCCAAACACAGAATGCCTGTGTAGTTCCTGGACTGGAATCTAAAATGGAGGCATCTCTCCCTCTCTTTCTTTGCCTCCCTCTCAGCAATGTTAGTTGTTGTTTGTTGGCATTGTGACATGCGGAAAAAGCTTTGAAGTGATTAAGCTCCCACAGAAGCTATCAGTCATGGCTTACTTAAAGAGTGAAGTGTGCCTGAAGCAAAATCTGGAAAATTACGATTAAATCAAATAGTTAGACTTCCAGTATAAATATCTCATCTGTATACAGTAATCAGACGTTCGGCTTTCTGCCGTCTGTCAGAGGCCAAAGATACCAATTTTATCAAAAGTGTGTTGATTACCACTGAGCTTTTTATTTGAGCCTAATTCTGCCCACCTGAACACTTGTATAAATAAACCACTTTGGAATTAATGGGAAGTCAAATAAGAGCTGCAGATTGCATTTATTTCAGAAGATATGTCTGGAAAAGTAAAGATCTGCCTCATAACGCTTATAGCTTGATGGCAAAATAAAAATCATTAGCATTTTATAATACTTGGAATTTCAAGTTCTACACACAGTTTTTTTGAGTAGACTCTCAACAAACAAACAAACAAACAAACCCTGCTTCCTATACATTATCTCAATAACCGTATCCTGGCAGTAAGCACCCTAGGCTCCGACTGCTTCTAGTTACCAATAAATATTGCTGTTTCTGGAATGTATCCATGGAAAATAATTGGGTGATATGTAGCTAAGTCAATGGGCCCATTCTGAACATAATGTTGGGTATTATTCACTGTTGCTATCTTTTGCTCTTTTGTATGCCTTCTTTAAAATTTTAGTGCTACAAGGACCAAAGTAAAATGCAAACATTAATTGCATGAATGCAGTTAAAACCCATGGTTTGGTATATGTAAGTAGGAGCTATAGAAATGCCCAGGACATTTTGCTGCCTGAAGCACAGGGCAACATGGAATCCCTCTCATTACAGGAAAAGAATTTGACTAGATTGACAGCTGAATCTTACTTCTATACAAGTGACAGAAAACTTCACTCATGGCACCAGAGGGCTTCAGGGTAGCTTTGAGGATGCAGTCCTGAGCTCCAAAACATTGCCAATCATTCCTGCTGCCCAACATCTGTTGCTTGAGCCACCTGCCTCACTTTATTCCACAAAACTTGACTTTACCAACTGGACCAATAAAAAACTAACTGCGAACCCAAACCATGGGATGAACCACTACTAATGCTGTTTCGTCCAATCAATAGGGGTACTCACTGTGGTGACATACAGATTTTTGTTGGACTACAACTCTCATCAGCTCCTCCCAGCATGGCCAATGATGATGGAAATTGTAGTCCAACAACATCTGGAGGACTCCGTGTTGGCTCCTCTTGCTGTACACAGTAGTGAATTTCATCTAGTGTGGCCTGGTTAGGTCTTTGCAGTTTTCTTGCACAATGAATTCCTATGTCCCATAGCATGGTGACAAAAGTGTGATGTATATGTCAGTAAACAGCTAAACTAGAGAACTGAGATATGCCAGAAAGACAAAGGAGAGTAATCAGTTAAATTTTCTGCAGAGGTTCAGGGCCAACATAGAGGGATGTAACTTCCCTCACTCTCCAAATTCATAGCATTGTAGAGTTGGAAGGGACCCTGGGGGTCATCTAGTCCAGCCCCCTGCAATTGCAGATGTGCTTGGGTGGTGTGAATTGCACCAGGGCCATAGCTGGGGAAAACATTTTCCCAATCTCACTTGTTTCCCTGAAAGTGCTACTTGCCTTAACATGGAAAACACACAAGTACTTATGTCCTATCACTGACATTAATTACAGAAGACCCAAGGTTCAATCCTGGCATCTCCGGTTAGGAAAAGACCTGGTGATAGAAAGACCTCTGAGATTCTAAATGACTGTTGTCAGTCAGAGTAGACAATACCAGGCTGGGTGGATCAATGTTCTGAGTTGGTATAAGATGGCTCCCTATAAGAAAAATGTTATCGGATGAAGGTCAACCATAGCCGAAATCCAGTTTGGTTTGTGTGTGCTTTAAAAAAGAAAAAAAAAGTTGGGATATCTAATCATTCACATCTTATTTAGTTTGACCTTTGATAGAAGGGCATGAGACTTTAGAGAGCTACTGCCAGACAGGGTGGATAATCTTGAGCTAAATGTAACAACAATAAATGAAGCCCTGTAACTCTCAGTAATGGAATAAGCCACATAGGATTCTCATTCCCCAGAAGTTGTGTGTGGTTTTGTTTTTTTTAAGCCATCAGAATGTTTGGGGGTTATGTATGAAGTATCCAAAATATATGTTGTTAGAAATAAAAGCTATTGGGTCTTTACGCTCAAAATTTAACAGCAGGCAAACGCAAAACGCAACATAAAAATAAAAAGGTGGGGTACAAGAAAGATTATTTTAAAAACTCCCCCCCCCGATTCACAGAATCCTATTAGTAGTAATTCCACCTTTTATTTTAAAGAGCAACCTGCATAATAAATAGAGTTTACTTCTTTACAAGCAGGTGATGGGGTTAGTTCAAAATGCATGGCTGAATTTAAACTGTAGAAATTGTTGTAATCTCAAGAGTATTAGCCAGAAATTGCTCTAGGAAAGTGAAAGAAGTCTACTTTGGTTTCACCTTGCCTTCTGCGTGTATATAGTTTCATGGTGAAACTCTATACATAAATTTGGTGGCACCTGCCTCACACTAAGGTCACCACAAGTTGACCAATGGCTGAATCTTGAACACCAAACCCAAAGAAGATAAGAACGCAAAAACATAAGAAGAGCATTGGTAGAAATGTCTCCAATTTTCACAACTTTTCTTATGAATGAAATATTTCAGGTAGTTGAAATTGTCACCACACCTTAATTACCATTCAGTGAGACTAGGGCGGGGAGCAGGCAATGATGCTCAGTGGGCCAAATTTGGCTTCTGGGCTCCTAGTTAGCAAATTGTGCTGCAGAGCTAACACTGCAGCTGCAGTGGATTATTATTTCTCTCCAACAGGTGGCTGTTCCACCAATATCACTCAACGGGGATTTAGCTTCTTATCACATTGTACAGTGTGATGCTATCTTGTCCCATTAAAAAAACAAAACCACCTCCAGACAGACTTAATTAGAAACAAATTATACCATCCTGTTTTGTTTACTTGCCTTCCCTGCAAGACATTCTCCGGCGTGCTTTGTAATCCTGCAGTTCCTTCTGCTGTGATGATGACACCTGGATTCTCTTCCTTCACCTCCCCTTGGCTTTGGTCTTGTGCTTTGATCTTGTCTTTCCCCCTTTCCACTTTGAAGAGTCTGTCGAAAAGCTTAACTCTTTGGGCTTGGACAAAGCGGCATCCTCCTCCTCTGCCTTCCCTGGTGCTGTGAGTTCAATTTCACTGAGAGATTCTTCCCTTAGGTTTTTATCTGAAGCTTCCTCTGTCGCAGCTGCAGCAGGAAGGTCCACATTCTCACTCAAGGCTTTGTTCGCTTGGGGTGCTTCTGAGCTGACATCAAGCTGAGCCGATCCAGCCGATGCATTTGCTGCTTTCTCTTCGGTACGTCCTGGTACAGGCCGTGAAAATGCAAAGACAAAACGAGATTTGGCAGCTGGTGGGGCCGCCTTGGCCTCCTTCCCAAGATTATTTCCACTGGCCTCGGAGCTGGAGCTGAGCTCCATTGTCTTCTGGGAAGAAACGGCCACATTATCCTGGACAACACTCACTCTTGCATCCACTACAAGTACAAACAAGAAAACAGCAATTATCCATCATGACAGGAAAGATGCACTATTAATCATAGCTGCCTGTGTATTTAATGGACTGATTGTAAACTGCAATGGCTAAACAAGCACAGTGTGTACGTGTCATTCTCGTTACAAAGTGTGAGCTTTGGCCTATCTGCTTACACATGGAATATGGGTTGCTGAAGCTCACTGTATTGTCATTGTTGACTATTTATGGCCCACACTTTGATGACACTGGAATGCTCCCTTAAACTATAGGGCAAGGGTGAGGAACTCTTCCTGGCCAGCTGGCCAGATCCTTATCTCCCTAGCTCTGGAGAGCTAAATTGGAAAGGTGAGTGTCCTAGAAACAGCAGGTGATGCTGTGCTTTGAAGCCCCAACTGTTGGGACTTCAAAGTGCAACATGGAGGTTGTTTGAAAGCTCTTTTGCAAACAGCCCCATGCTGCACTTTGAATGTCCAAAACATGGGGCTGTTTGCAAAAGGGCTTTTAAATAGCCCAGAACTGTATTTTGGCTTTGTATGTTTGCTCACAGTAGGGGGACAGGTAGATACAGCCAATTGAGCAGGATAGAACTCCCCACTCACCAGCTGATGTGTTAAAGGTTCAAGCCTGCTAGATGCAGGGGTCTGCTTCACCAGCACATTCCCTGATGATGGCATAGAATGACAGGGTTAGAAGGAACCTACTGTTAATCATTTGCAGCAATTTGGATTTGTCAAAGGCTTTGTCTCTGCATGCCCTGTGTGGTAACGGGCATAATTATTTTTTTGTTTTTAAAGACAAAAGTTACAAAAGTATAGCTTCCCGCTTATTATTCTTTGTTGAATCATTAGAAACTGAAACCACATAAGAAACTGCATGCTGGAGAATTCAAAAGCAGAGCATGCTTTGAGTTGAGTGTAGCTAGTTCCTGAAAATGTGGGGATGGAAATCTTTAGAAATCTGATAAGTATTTGCATTGTTGTGAGAAAGATGAGATTTCTAGAAGTAAAGGCAAGATTCCCCTTGCCAGAAACAGTGTAAAATTGTCCTCAAAGGGAAAGGAAAATTGTGAGGTTTCAAGGTACAGTTTCTGAGAATTAACAATGTGGAAATGCAACAAAACCTGTTCTTTTATTGCACAATGAATAATCTAATTGTTAACTCCCGTCAAAGCACAATAGCTGAAGGAATTTTATTTGCTGTGACTATTCCAATGCTGCCTTTAAATCAGAGCCAGCCTTACCTTTGGCTATTCCCCTCCCTTGAATGGCAGAGCTGAGTGTGCCAACCAGCATATCATTAACCCCCTAAAGTAGCCTACTGCTAACCTGCATTCCACTGTCTTTTGCTCTAGAGCTTGGAACTGCCACTTCAGCAGCAGTATTCAGGTGGTGCAGGTGTGGCTGTGTTGCTCTCCTGACTTCTCAACACTGTGCATCGTGGACGCTTACAGGGAAGGAGGGTGGGTGGGTGGCAAGGCAGCAGGGAGCTTGGCAGGTACAGGCCTGGTGGCAGAGCGAATCTGATGCTCCTGCTACCAGGCCCACACTGTGCCGAACTCTCTGCTGCCTTGGCCCACCCACTCTCCCAGTTGGACCGTCAGGTCAGCAACACAGCCACACCTGCCCTGCTCTGCCAGCTGCTGCTGATCAGCAGTGGAGCAGGCCATATTTGCTGGAGGCTCCATCCTTTCCTAGCACTTAGCCCAGGTCCTGATTTGAGGTGTTACATGTGCTTCACTCTCCTCCCAAGTAGCTCACATGCAGCTAGCTCAGTGTTCCTCAAACTTGGGTCTCCAACTGTTTTTGGACTACAACTCCCATCATGCCTAGCTAGCAGGACCAGTGGTCAGGGATAATGGGAATTGTAGTTCCAAAACAACTGGAGGCCCAAATTTGGGAAATCCTGAGCTAGCTGGACTTTCTTTCTTTTCTGCCCTTGTAAACCTGGGGGTGGGTGCTAAGGGAAGATCCAAGGGCCAGCCAAGAACCCAAGCAGTCCTGGGGCCAGATTGTTAAGGTCCTCAGGGTCATTAGTGGTGAGGAGATCTGCTGAGGGATCCCACTCTTTCTCCTCCTTCTCTAGGGAGAGAGAGAGTCTAGGTTCCAGGACTGGGGAGGGCTGAACCATGACTTCCTACCACTCTGTTATCCTTAATAGCACCGTGTCCTTGGTCTGGGGCCATCCCTGCAATCCTCAAGCTCCCTTGAGTCACTGTTGTCCTATCCCTGAACCTCCTTAGAGAGGCTTTAATTTGACAACTCTGGTTCTAGAGCAATGGATCAAAAAACCTGCCATAAGCTCTCATTAATCAGCATGTACAAGGCAGCAGGATCTAGCCTGAAAATGGCATCCTTTCACTCACGCAAGTGAAATCAAGCACAAAGATAAAAGCATGCCATGGTCGATTGACATACCTTTGATTTCAGAAACTACACAGAGGCAAGACAGACATGAAAATCATTTCTAAATGCGTTTCTTAAACAGCTGTGGAAAGACACGAGCCAAGTGTACAAGACAAAGCAGGAAAATGGAAAGATCCCACTGTGATGGTGCCTTTGCAGCTGTGAACTAGTAAAGCATTATAGGAATGGGGCTTATTTCAGGATGTCTAGAACCATCAGCAAAATGGAAAAGAAAGTGATCGTGAGCAATATTCACATGATATTTAACAGTCACCACTTTCCATTTCAAGCTCTGTTGCACGAACATGTCTGCACAGCTTGTGACCCACCAAGGTTGAATTTCATCAAGTAGTACTTATGTTTGATGCATATTCTGCAGCTGGTCCAAACAATCCAGGATTGGCTAATAAACCCAGCTAATTAACTGCCCCACGAGAATCACAGATATTGGCTTTCCTCCCCATTCACATCTGTGTAGCAGAATCTAGCTAGAAATGCATCTTCACTGAACACATACAGTTCCGCCTCTAAGAGGCATCTGACTCACATCAGCCCCAGCCAGTATGATAAATGATGGGAGTTAACAAGATCTGGAAGCTCCCAAGTTAGCCACCCCTGGTCTAGACATAGCTTTCAGCCTATTCATATGACCCAGCTTCTATTATAATAATGTGAACTGCCCTGAGAACCACGGATGAAGGGTGGTATACAAATTTAATTTAAAAATAATAATAATGACAAGCTGGGTAATTTAGTTGCAGAATCAGGCCATATAACAAAGCAGGTTGCCTCCACTGGGTCCACAGATGAAGAGGGCAACTTTTCAGGCACCGGAGCTCCACCAGAACACAGGAATAGCTTGGACACATTGACTATCTGGGTTGCTTTTGTTATTTTAGCAGATTGGTAAACTTACTGCCACCCATTTACTAAATATGCTGCTAAATACACACAAGCCAGGGTGCTATGAAGTCTGGGAAAGTATCAACAAGATGAAAGATACAGAGAAAGAATCAGAAATTGTAAATTTGATGGTGCTGCAAGATGTCTTTGTTTCTCTATAGTTTCCTTTGGCATCACTGGGATACATTGTTCTTTATCACTTTATGATGGGGCACTTTATTTGTGAATACTTCATTCTCTTGCTCATGAGGAGGATCTAGAAAGCTTCGCTGGAGCTTGGCCACTTATTGACCTTGATCTCCAAATGGTATAAATGTGTATGGAGTAATTGTGAACTGGGACTGGTTATGTTTGCTCCATATAATTTTCCTTTGCATGGTGTGGGAGTGGGAGTAAGAGTGAGACATCATCTTTCTTACCCACCAACTCACCCATCTGATGCCCCTGCCCTACCCTGCAGAGAAGGCTTTCTGGGAGCCTCATGGAAAACACTTTGAGGTTCCTAAAGACCTCAGAATAGAAGCTATCAATATCTATTTATAGATACATGCTACACCTTAACTTTCTCAGCAGGGTTCTTGTTGTTTGACTCTTAACCAGACCAGCACCTGTTTTTAATTTGTAAGTAGCTTAACAGAGTAATGCAACATTTCTTGAAATTCAAGATCTAGCACATTTCAGATTATCTTGCAATGATTTATGGTTTTCTTAAATTATGCATGCCAGTACAGTAAACAAGTGCCAGTTTTTCAGAAAGACCAGCCTTGTTTTTTGGGAGAAAGGGCTTCACTTATTTGCCCTGGCAGAAAGGGCACCCATGGCATTTAGGCCAACGTCTCAGAATAGGGCTTTGAATACACAGTTGAACCTTCAGCCATGACTACATGTTAAGAGGCATATAAATGGCTTCATGCACCTTGAAGCAAAGGTGCAACTCCAAATATCACACCACTGCCTTTGAGAAAGGGAGTGCAGAACTTTTCCCCCACTTTCGTTTGTGGGCAAGGCTAGATACAAACATGGATAAAGCGTGACTGCTATATTGCTGACATCTCCTTGTGTTTGTGTGAAACAATAGAGAATGATTTTACTTTTAGCATATAGGGCAGGTGTATAAAAGTACTTCCTGTGCTATGCTGTTAAATAACAGGAAGGCCTTGAGAGATGCACAGTTTTGAATGCCGTGTGGGACCCAACAACTTGGAAGCAACTATCCACATAAGCAAAGTGTCTTGCTGAGAATGGGGTTCAGCTAAAATGTGATGCATCAGAATGATGTGTGCTGGATGTGGCACCATAAGACAGACAGCAAGCAGCTGCAAAAACATGCTGCTTAATGAAAGAAATGCTTCTGATTTAATACAGACATGGGGCAGAGGGAAGTACGTGCTTATCTTTTTAATCAAGATTTCCATTAAAATAAACGTTGCCATCTTCAGAGAAGCTTTATGTGAACAGCTGCACTTGTTCAGGTTGTAACACAAAACAAGTTAAATGCCACCAAGCCTGCACACCTGTTGTCTGTATTCTGAGAATTACTTGACATCCCCTCCTGTTTTGTTTTTGTTTTTTGCTTTTTTGCTTTTCCTGTTTTACAGTCCCAGCAGAAAACAAAAACAGGAGCCTTATCAACCCCAGGTGTTGGGCTGTTTCTGCTTGTTGTGCTACACAACTGGGGTCACCAAACTTTTTGGGCCCATGGGCACATTTGGATTTTTGAGTGAGTGCTGTGCACTCAGTAGGATTCAGTAAAATTAATCTGAGCTTTGAAAAGTACATAAAGTAAAATGGGAAGTGACAAAGAAGAAGAAGAGTTTGGATTTGATATCCCGCTTTATCACTACCCTAGGGAGTCTCAAAGCGGCTAACATTCTCCTTTCCCTTCCTCCCCCACAACAAACACTCTGTGAGGTGAGTGGGGTTAAGAGACTTCAGAGAAGTGTGACTGGCCCAAGGTCACCCAGCAGCTGCATGTGGAGGAGCACAGAAGTGAACCCGGTTCCCCAGATTACGAGTCTATTGCTCTTAACCACTACACCACACTGGCTCCAGAAAGAACAGCACTCTTCTGATTTCCTTTTTCATATCTCTCCAAGGGGGGCAGGAGAGTATAGGCATTGTCATCAGAACATAAGGAGAGCCCTGCAGGATAAGTTCAATAGCCCATCTAGTACAGCATCCTGTTCCCAAAGTGACCACCCAGATGTCTGCAAGAAACCCATGAGCAAGACTCAAACACAAGAACACTCTCATGACCAGGGCATAGGGGCTCAGAGGTTTCAAACACACCAGGGAAAGACTTCAAGGGCACCATGTTGGTGACCTCTGTGTTACAAGTTGGGGGACACTCCCATTGTCCTTGAGTGTGCATACACACAAGACGGGCAGACATAAGCAAGGGCAAATGTCAATCCTCTTTTGCAGAGAGCATGGTCTGGCAGACAAGCCAACTTTTGAATGAGTCAGAGAAAGAAGTCAAATACCATTAATCACTCTGAGTTAACACCCACAACTTATATATGATATTGACATATCTGCTTTTTGTGCTGCGCCTGAACCTCCACCTATGTACTGTACACAGAGAAGAGTCAAGTGACCAATAAATAAATCAAATATAAGCAGGGCTATGGAGAATAGGGTTCATTTGTAGATTGGTGCCATCAGATTATGGACAGCCATTTTGAAACAATCCCCTGGAGGTCTGTTTGTGGGAATGTTATGCAGAAATTAGTCCACACAAATTTGTCTGCTCATGAGATCCAGTAGTAATCCCGTAACCTGTTCACAGACACACTCAGGAAGCTCTGCAGTCCCCATCCCAATCATTACACTGGAAGATTGCCCTAAAGCCCACAGCAAAAAGCATCCAAACCCTTTATAGGTTAGGAGTTTGGAAGAATTCAAACTTTGCCTTGCTTTTCTATTACACAGTTTCAAAGGAAAACAAAACCAGCTAGGCCAGACCCCTCCTTTCCGGTCTACTGGCAATGATCAACTTTCCCTCAAATCATGTCCAACTTTATGTTTTGCAACATGTCCCTCTCTCTTTTCCTATCACTTTTCCTGATGATTTTAGACTAAAGTTGCACTCATTTTGGGAAGTGAGTCACTACAGACCCCAAGTGGAATCACTTGATCACATTAAGGGCCAGCTGCATTAATATTCACTGCATGACACATATGCAGCTCTCTGTTTTGCAAATAGATTCCCATACCTTGATCCTAAGCACACACTTTCATAAATGCAGCAAACTAGCCACGCAGAAGCCACACAGCTCGTACTAAGCAGGCAGGTGTTTCCTCGGGGGTGTGATAAATGATGTGGTTTTGTCTTACATGGTTTTATCTCATGCATGTTTTATAAAAGCTTCCTGGCTTGTCATTGTTTCTGGCTCCCAGCCTTTGCCTATAATATACTATAGCATATAGTATGGACTGTATACCAATATGATTAATGTCTGCTTAATTTGTATGATTTACATACGTCTCCTGTGAAAAGGAATGCCAGTGAGAAATGCCAAAGAGATCGTATCTTTTATTGGTCTGAACTGCAATCAGTATAGGAAGAGGCAAACTGATGAATGACACAGAATAAAAAGTATTTTGTTTCTAGACAATGATCTAAGCGAAATAACTAAGAAACACCCATTGTCCACATATGTGTTCAAGAACAAGGGCTGGATTATATGTAGCAATCACGTAGAGCTGTCCTGTCTATCCATTGCAGCTAGCAAAGAGTTTGAACACCTAGATTAGCAGAGGCTGACCCACTAATGTGCATCACAAAGGCACATTCTCATATCAGATTACATAACAACTGTCCCCTAAAATCTTGCACGTTTTTATACCCAGGAAGTGAACATTTGCATAAATGTTTGCGAGTGGATTTCTCTTTGCACAGGGGGCTTGTTTAAATCAGCTGGAGTTGGGGGGCCCCATCCAGAAATGGGCATGACAGCCTTTCCTTCTCTGAACATACCTGCATCACCATTTGCAGAAGGAACAGTCTGTACAGTCGCGATTGTGACAGGTCCATTCTTAAGGTTTTCAGGAGGTTCAGATGAAACCTAGAGCATCAGACTGAAGGTTAGTCGTTGAAACTGCTTGGTCACAAACCCTTGCACAATTTTGAACACTGCAGTAATAAACCCTAACTCGGTTCAGAAGAGAGTGGTTCATTATTACCTTGGGCTTATGCATTCCCTCTTTCCTCTCCCTGTTCCCATCATGCCCTTTACATCAGAACTGGGCAAACTATGTTTTGCTCAAACCAGTTTTCCAGGCTCAGGTGTGTAACAACAAACCATGGCTTGCCATTAAACTAGAAGTCAGGGAAAGAATGAGAAAATGCGAGTAGAGGAAGGAAGAGGAAGGTAGCCTAAGATGTGCAAGCATGAAAGAATTCTGGGCACTGGTGTTCACGCTTCAATAAGTTACAATTCCTGGCAACCCTTAACAAATTACAGTGGAACCTTGGTTCTCGAACAGCTTAGTTGACAAACAAATCAGCTCCCGAACACTGAAAACCCGGAAGTGTTCCGGTTTTCGAATGTTTTTCGGAAGCCAAACATCAGACACAGCTTCCGCTTGACTGCAGGAAGCTCTTGCAGCCAATCAGAAGCAGCACCTTGGTTTTCGAACGTTTCGGGGGTCAAACGGACTTCCGGAACGGATTACATTTGAGAACCGAGTTACCACTGTACAATGCCCAGAGTGCTTTGAGGGAAAGAATGTGCTTCAAATGTGCTTTAAATGTTTAGTGTGTTTGCATCCTGGAAGGAGATGTGTGGGTGGAGGAGACTCAGCTATGGAATTCTTAAATTTACTTTTGTGCTTGGATCACTCCCATTTGTATTTGGGTATTTCGACAAACAAATAGCATGGGACTTGATCCTTCTGAGCCACAAAGTTTGTCTATCCCTGGTTGGTGTTCTATTTGCTTACCTAATCATCGTTTAGCTAGAGATCCACCCTGTTCACTGCTGCCCTTCACAGTCCTTGCTTGATGTATCCCATCCCTACCACCATCCTGGAGCTTTTTCCTTACATGGGCCGTTTTTATAGGTAGAGGCATCCATCCAGGCATGCACATAACCCTACAATTTCCTGACACAGTACAAAACACAAAAGCAAAATTTAGATGCTGCATAGTTGGGTCACCATCTCCTCCCAGTCTCTAAATACAGACTTCAAGGATGTTGAATGAAATTACATGACTTAAGTAAGGATTGGTAAATGATTCGTAAAAAGGTAATGATGCAAGAATTTGGTAAATATTGAATATAAGCTATGAGTTTTAAAGTTTTTATATGACAAGAGGGAAAATAGAATAAGGAAACGTAATGACAGATTGTTATGAAAAAACAGAAAGGATTTGCTGTAAAAATTAAAAATTAAGAAACAAAAGAGGGGAGGAGGAGGAAGTCTAGAAAGGAAGTCAATAGAGATTGTAAAGGACTTTATATTTTTGTTTTTCTGTTTCTCTTTTTTTTTCTTTGCGGCTGGGTTTTCTTTTCTTTTTTGTTTATGCACTAATTTTGTTTTTTGTATCCTTAAATTTTTTTTTTTTGTTGGAAATTTTTGTTGTTATTTTTTGAAAATTCAATAAATATCAATTATAAAAAATAAATAAATAAATACAGACTTCATTTCTTTCAGCCCAACAAGCGTAGTGTGGGGCTGCCAGAGACACAGTTTGTGCCATGGGTAGGCAAACCAAGGCCCAGGGGCCGGATCCGGCCCAATTGCCTTCTCAATCTGGCCCACAGACGGTCCGGGAATAAGTGTGTTCTTACATGAATAGAATGTGCCCTTTTATTTAAAATTCATCTCTGGGTTATTTGTGGGGCTTGCCTGGTGTTTTTACATGAGTAGTGGGGCATAGGAATTCATTCATATATATTTTTCCAAAAGATAGTCCAGCCCCTAACAAGGTCTGAGGGACAGTGGACCAGCCCCCTGCTGAAAAAGTTTGCTGACCCCTGGCTTGTGCATTTTCAATACAATTTGACCAGACAAAGCAGAACAAAGAAATCTACAGATTTTTACCTCTGAATATGCTGTTATGTGAACAGGTTCATCGTCTTCAGGTTCCCTTTGCATGGACATTGTGTTTCCCATAGTGGATGCTGTGTTTGAGAAAATACAGAATTTAGGAAACATGGGGTTGACTGAGCAGCCTTTAGCCACACTTCAGAGCAGGGATGTATTCGCAGGACCCTATGGGGATGTGAGAGACACTAAACCGTAGTTCGTATTCTCACATACACCACCACCACTTCTCTGAGTCGTTGAGAAGTTTCAGATGCATCTGTTTACCCAGTTTTAAATTACCTTTGGGAGGTGGTTACTGGAGGCTTACTGGCATTAGGCAGTATTTACATGTATTAACAAATGTACTGGCAGAGCACAGGTGGAAGCACAGCTTAACTTACAAATACCCCATAAGACAGTGAAAGTCACAGAACCATAGATTCATAGAATTGTACGCCTGGAAGGGACCCAAAGGGGCATCTATTCTACCCCTGTGCAATCCACTGCACCCACATAGGACCTCTTGAGAGAGGCAGGCTGCACCTCAAGATGCTGTTAGCTTACAGAGCCCAAACTCAGCTCTGTCTTAGCATCTATTTCAAAATGTAGTCTTGCTCTTTTCACACACAAACACCTAGATCACATCATCCTTAGCTGGGGTGGGGAAGGTGTTGCCCTTCCCATTTGAAAAACTACAGATGCTTTATCAATAAGCAATTGTTCAACAATTTAGTCCCATGGAATCAACATCACATGAAAATCCCTAGCCATTAATCTGCAGTTCCCCTAACAATAAATCTCCCATTAAGGAAGTCTCCAGCAGTACTTCTGACACCATTAACCCTATCCTGTTCAAACCCAGATCTGTTGCTCATGTGGTAGAGACAAGGCATGACACCTCTGCCCTCCATCATGCAAATTATGTTCACAACGTAATGAATAAGGAGAGTCAGGCCAAATGCTCATCTTGTCCAGCATCCTGTTCTCACAGGGACCAACCAGATGCCTGTGAGAAGCCTGCGAGCAGGACTAGAGCCAGGTCAAAATCCCTTGAGGATGTGCAGAGCAGGGCTGGTATGGGCATGTGGCCTGGAAAGCCCCAATAGCTGGACAGAGGACAGGAGGGCTGAGGTCTCTCACTCCTAATGTACAGCGTGTATTTTACCAATGGCATAGAAAGCTGCCTTATGACATTGGTATGTCTAACTCAATACTGCCTACACTGACTGAATCTTTCCTAGCCTGACCCAGAAATTCCACAGACTGAACCTGGGACTTGTTGGAGCCTAGGTGTTACAGCATTATGAAAATGCAAAGAAAGAAAGATAGCACCCAATAAATCAAGTCAAACTACTCACTAAAAATGAAGCGAACAAGAGAGACATTGTGTGGTCCCTTAAAAGGTGCAATGAAAATGTCAAGCAGATCTCACTTGGAAGGGATTTTTGCAATAATTCAAAAAGTACCTGAAAGGCAGGAAAATTTAATACCCCACAGCAAACTGTTCACCTTTGTATTTTTATTTGCACTGCCTTTGCACATGATTGGGGCAGACCTACATGCAAAAGCATGAGCTGCCACCATCAAGTATCATCCACTTTGATTAATTGATTGATTGGACAAGTTTATTTATATGACGCTTTCCCACAGTGAATGGGGCCCAAAGGGGCTTACAGCAATCATTCAAATCATAAAAATACAGAGCATTGGAAATACAAATATACAAAATGCAGAACATGTCAGTAAATTCAAGAATGACAAAAATCAACAATTGGGCAAATGCAGAATATATTCAATCCTGCAAAAAACACACAAAAAAACCCACAACCAAAACCTAGGCTTAAGTACATAACATTACAAAGCAAACTAGAGTTAGTCAGCAGCCCAAAGTTTGCTCAGCAATGGGCAACCCTGCATGATGTATACAATATCTAATACAATGTAAAAGGCAGGAAGTTTCATCACCAAATTCAGGAATATGAAGTTTGGATCATGAGCCTAGAAGCCTTAGGTGCCAACCTGCCTGGGGAAAAATGTGGAACATGTGAAATATGTCAGACACGTGACTTATTGCTAAGCAAATATCCGGCTGCGCAGCTAGCAGTGGCACTCAGTAGACGGATGCTACTGCCTGTGTACACACCAGAGGGGAAAGAAGAGTTGGCAACCTGTAGAAACACTGGTTTGGCATTTCTGCAATTGTCTTGCTGGTCCCAGGAAATGTGTGCCAAGTGGTGCCCACCACAAATCTGGAGGGCAAAGTTTTCTATCTGTCTCTACTCTGTGTTGAAAGCAATTTCCCTCCTTCAGAGCCGACCGCTAAGGGAAGGGACTGGGATTAGTCACTCGGAGTAAACAAGAACCACCCTTGAACAATTCAAACAGGCACCCAGCTGAGCTCACGTCCTATTTGAAGCCTCTGCGATTTCTGCTTGGCCTTGAAGGCAAGCCTCCAGATTGCTCATTCCCTGTGCTGAATTCTCCTAACGGGGAAACTCACACATTGGACTCCACAGGCAAACAGGCCCTGGGAACTTTGAAAGGGGGGAAGTGGATCAGGGGAGGGTGATTTGGAGCAGACAAACGACTGGCAGTGGAAAGGGTTAAGCAACCCCTCTTCACCTGCCACATCTCTAGTCATGCCTCCTTTTCTTCAGAAAAAGCAAGGATCAGGGCTTGTTAACGTAATAACGTTCATTGCCCCTGCTTGTCTCTGTTTCTTGCTTGCTTGTATGCAGGGTTTACTTGGCTGACCAGTGTAATGTGCAAGTCAGAATACTGTGGGCACTTCCAAACCGTTGCTATTTTCAGATGGGATTCAATCATTACTGGCAAATTCAGTTTGCACGAAGATTTGGTGATCTCGTGCAACAAACCTGCCTCCCCCCATCAGCCTTTTTTTTTTTTTTTTTTTCTATATGAAAAATGATGGGGAAACACACTGTAAAGTGTGGACAACATTTATTCAACACAAATCAGGGTGAACGCTCAGTAAGCAGGTAATCTGGAAGTGCCATGTGTCACGAACACTGCTGCTGCAATGCTCTGGAATTTCCTGGCCTATTCACAACATTGCAAAGTCATAGAGGTTGCAAGCAGGGTCAGCACCAGGCAATTGCTGGAATGCCCTCTAGCAGAATTCACCGTGCATCACTGGGGCCCAATGTCTGGCTTACCTCGCAGAGGCAGCACTTGGATGTAGGGAGTGAGGTGCCAATTTAATCTCACATAATGCATCTGATGCAGTGTTGCACCATAACTTTGTGAGACATCAGGTAGTAGATTGTTACCCAGAGCTGGTCATAGGGTCAGGCTTGACCTAGCTAGGCAATGTGATCTGTCATTTTAATTTCCCACAATGCCTTGGGAGCAACACTACACCAGAGGTAGTAAATGGGCAAGTGGAGCCCTGGCAGCTGCCCAAGGATTCTGGCTGCTGGTGCCACCCGTGGCTGCTAATATGAGCCAGAGGAGAGAAGAAAAAGGAAATTTGCAGCCAGTTGTAACATGTGAATTGGTTCCAAACATGGCATACTTAGCCAACGTATTTATATAATTCATGAGAATGCACCACATTCCTCCACAGAGCCAACCTTTCTCACAAAGCCCTCCAGCCCTTTTCAATGAAAGAAATCAAATCAAATCCGAATTCAGGGTTGATTTGTGCATTACAATACAGTGGCAAGAGGAGATGTGCAAAACCATTTGTGCAACCTCTGTCAACACTTCTGAGTATTGTGCAAAGGGTGAAGTATGCAAGCTGCATTCTCTTGCCGACAGCATAATGCTCAAGTTGTGCAAACTCCAAAAGTGTGAAAAGGTGTGTGTGAGGTTCCTAACCGTGTCTCATTATAAAGCGTGGAACATCTCGTAATCTGAACTCACTCCGTTTGAAATGTCTCTCTCTCAGCCTCAGTTTCCTTTTATAAAATGGGAATAATAGTAATCAACCTTAGAAGAGTGTTGCGAAAATGATTAAGAAAATGCTTTTTTAAGAAAGATGACACCTTACACCAGTTAAGCTACACACAGTGTAAGTAAAAACTAGAGGAACAACTGCTGCCACTACTATTTTACTTAATTGTCTTTAATGCTTTTTTATTATTATTTTGCCGTGACCTAACCTGGGACCTTCTATTTAAGGGTGTGTAATAAATATAATTAAAACAACAATAACAAATAGTGATAATATAATACCACCATCACCTTTGGTAGTCATGTCCAAAACTCAGATGATAACGAGCAGAAATACTCCAATGTATTGGATTCCTGGCTGCATCATCACAATAAAACTTACTATTGTATGTTTAGATGCAGAGACTATACCAAAATGAGAAGGAAGATACAGCTACGGTTCTATATGTGATGGGAAGATGAGCTGCTTGTGCGTAAAATCGTATTCCCTCAGAGTTTGTTCAAGTCCACAAACCTCTGTCTGTGACTGAGCCCCTCTGACATGGCTCCTCTAGTCACTAGAAGATTCCGACAGTGGCTGCTTTCGTAATCGCTTCCAACATAAAAGCTCCTTAACGGAAACACGTCTTCTGGACTCTCTGCGTGACAGTTTCCGGCGAGGAGTGGGTGTCCCAACAGGAGGTCCGGAAACCTCACCACTGTTTTCGCTGGAAGTATCTCTGAGCCATCCCCCAGCTCCCTTTCCCTCAGTTCAGCTTCTCTCCCCTGCTGGTTTCCTCTTCAGCTGCTGAGTCTCTTCCAACCTGTCTGAGCCCTTTCACCTCCCTCAGTTCAGCTTCTCTCCCTTGCTGGTTTCCTCTTCAGCTGCTGAGTCTCTTCCAACCTGTCTGAGTCCTTTCACCTCCCTTCCTTCCGATGGCAGTTCCCTGACATCCACCTCCCCACCAGGGCCCCCTTCACCCCCTCTCGCCCCCCTCCTCAACGGGCGGTGAGGAGGCAAAACCCAGGAATGAACTTCCTTCATCTTCCGATGTCTCGAACACTTCTCTCCACCTGTTGCGGTTCCTGGTCTCGAAGCACTCCTCCTCCTCCGAGTCCATCTCCCCTTCCCCTTCCGATTCTGGGAATCCTTCCAACTCCTCCTCCTCCTCAGTGGTCCCAAAGTATTCCCTCCGGAACCTCTCCACAGGCTGAGGTTTCCTCGGGACCTTTGATGGAACGTTTCTATCAATACCTCGTCATTGATATCTTCGGCCATTACCCACGTGTTTTCTGACTCCGGTTCTCCTTCCCACGCTACCAAATACTCCACCTGATTCCCCTTCCACCTGGCATCAAGGATTTCTGCCACATGACTGCTGCATTCTCTTTCTTCTATGACCGGTCCCCGAGTGGCCATCCCTTCTCGTCCCCCCTCGTACGGTGACAGTAACGACCTGTGAAATACTGGGTGCAGTTTCATGTGGTTGGGTAACCGGAGCCTGAAAGCCACTGGGTTGACCTGTTGAATGACCTCAAAGGGACCCAACCTCCTGGGTCTTAATTTCTTACAACCTCCTTTGAACGGCAACCCTCGGGTTGACAGCCACACCCTATCTCCAACCCTTATGGTTTCACCTTCCCTTCGGTTCTTGTCTGCCTGCCTCTTGTATTCTTCCTTCGCCCTTTCTAAGTTGAGTTGGAGCTGACGGTGGATTGCTTCCATTTCTTCTACAAAATGCTCGGCTGCCGGTACGCTCCATCTCTCCCCTTCTCCCCTGGGAAAGCCCTGGGATGACACCCATAATTAGCCAAGAAGGGGCTCATCCCTGTGGACACATTCTCGGCATTGTTGTAGGCAAATTCCGCCAGCGCCAACTTTTCTACCCAGTCATTCTCTCTGTCATTGACATAACACCTCAGGTATTGCTGGAGGACACCGTTTGCTCTTTCCGCCTGCCCGTTGGTTTCAGGGTGCCGGGCAGTCGAAAGTTGACCTCCACCTGCAGTAAGCTCATGAGCTTCCTCCAGAACCTGGAAGTAAATTGTTTTCCTCGGTCTGAGACCACCCTCAATGGCACCCCGTGCAACCTAAAAATGTGTTCTACAAATAACTTCGCTGTCTCTTCCGCCGTGACTGCATGCGAGCAAGCTACAAAGTGGCACATCTTTGTTAGTAGGTCTACCACCACCATGATGGCTGTTTTCCCTTTGGACTTCGGCAGATCAGTCATAAAATCTATCGACACTGCCTCCCAAGGTCGTTCTGGTGTTGGTAAGGGTTCTAACAGCCCCGCCGGCGCCCGCCTTTCCCCTTTGGCTCGCTGGCACTGCTCGCACCCTCTTACATACTCACGTACATCCTCCCTCACCTTAGGCCACCAAAATTCCCTGGTGACCAACCACATGGTTTTGTGTTGCCCAAAATGCCCCGCCGTGGGGCTGTCATGCAACTGCTTGAGTACCCTCCCCTTAAGTCTCCTTCAGGGATATACAGTGCCCCTTTGTAATACAAAGCTCCATTTCTTTCCTCGAAACCCCTTGATTCCTCTCCCTCATCCCTAAGACCTCTGAGCTTATTCTGGGCGTATTCATCATTCTCTGTTTCTTCTACCAGTTCTCTTTGTCCCACCAATGCCGCCCCACACACCCAGCGGTCCTCTGGAATGACATGTCTCTCTTCGGGTGCTCCCTCCCCTTCCAAATATTCAGGTTTGCGTGAGAGAGCGTCCGCCCTAATGTTCTCTGGGCCTGGCACGTAACAAATCTCAAAGTTAAATTTGGAGAATTCCTGGGCCCACCTCACTTGCCGTTGGTTGAGCACTCGTGCCGTCCTCCAATACTCTAGGTTCTTGTGGTCAGTGCACACTTGCACCTTATGTTGTGCGCCAATTAACAGGTGCCTCCATCTCCGGAACGCCTCATGAATGGCTAGTAGTTCTCGGTCATACACCGTGTAGTTCCTCTCGGATTTGTTCAGCTTTCGCGAAAAACTGGCACACGGTCTCCACTCTGACTCCTCCTTCCCTGGCTGGAGAAGCACCGCCCCAACCGCTCTGTCTGATGCGTCAGTTTCCACTCTCATCGGTTTTTGTAAATCCACATGCAGGAGCTGTTGTTCCGAGGCGAAGGCCCTTTTTAGTTCCTCAAATGCTTGCTCCGCCTCCTCCGTCCAAACGAACTTCTTCTTACTGCTGAGACAGTCCGTAATGGGCGCCGTCAGGTGGGCAAAGTTTGGGATGAACTTACGATAGAAGTTCCCAAATCCTAAAAACCTCTGCACATCCTTCCTTGTTTTGGGTGTTTTCCATTCCAGTACCGCCTGGACCTTGCCGGGATCCATGGCCAACCCCTTGTCAGACAGGCGATACCCCAGGAATTCCACCTCCTTGGTATGAAACTGACACTTCTCCAGTTTCACCCACAGCTGGTTGGCTTGCAGCCTGCTCAACACTTCTCTGACGTCTCTCACATGCTGCTCCTCATTCTCAGAATACACCAACACGTCGTCTAAGAAGGCCACACAATTCTTGTAAAGCAACGGCCCCAGGACGTGGTTCATAAACGATTGAAATGTTGCGGAGCCTGCTTGTAGACCGAAGGGCATAACTAAGTATTCAAATGCCCCTAAAGGGGTGAACATGGTGGTTTTCCATTCATCCCCCTTCCTTATTCGTATCAGGTTGTACGCCCCCCTTAGATCCAGCTTGGTGAAAATCTTTCCCTTCCGCACCCTTGTCAAAATGTCGTCAATCCTGGGCATCGGGAAGGCCACTGGTTCTGACACTGCATTTAAGGCCCTGAAGTCACACACCAGTCTCGGCTTGTTCGTGTTTTTTTGTCCACAAAAACACTGGGCAGGCCCCCACCCCCCAGGACTCTCTGATGAACCCTCTCTTCAGGTTCTTGTCAATGAACTCTCTTAGCTCCTGCATCTCTCTGTCTGACATGGCGTACAGCTTGCCCACAGGGAGCTGTGCCCCAGGGAGCAAATTGATTTGACAGTCAAAGGCTCTATGCGGTGGTAGTTGGTCAGCTTCCCTTTCGCTGAAGACGTCGCGGAGATCTGCGTATTGTCGTGGTACCTTCACGTTCTCCGTTACTTCAGTCCCTGCTATGGTGGCTTGGGCCCCTGCCAAAACCTTTCCCTCTTTGCAGTGTTCTAAGCAATGTGCTGACCCAAAAGAAACCACTCTTTGATGCCAGCCCACCAGCGGATCATGTAACGCTAGCCAGCTCATCCCCAATATAATGGGAGCTCCTCCCAAGGTGGCCACATTAAACGCAATGAGTTCGGTGTGCCTTGCCACCTTCATTATCATTGGGACGGTCTGCAAGCTGACTTCTCCTCCCAACAGCTCCCTGCCATCGATCGTGGTTACCTGCAGGGGGTTGCTTAAAGGGAGCGTCTGTATCTGGTGTTCAGCTGCAAACTCTTTGCTCATGAAATTGCAGGAGCTGCCTGAGTCCAACAGCGCCTTTATCTTTAGAGGGTGTCCGTTTGGCAGCTCTAGTGTCACTTCTATCACTAGGGCGGGTTTAGGAGGTTCTGGCGTGGGCACTTTCACTGCTCTTTGGCCTGGCTGCTGTGCCCCGACAATGGCAGCCAGGCGTTGGCTTTAGTTGCTCCGGTATCTTTTCCTCTCTTCCCTCCACAGCTCCCACCATCCCTTGCCATTCCTTCCTCTGGGGGCAGACTCTGGCAAAGTGCCCTGGCTGTTGGCAGAGATAGCATTTCCGGGCGCCTTTTCCCTCCTTTTTCCCCCCCTCACTGGGCTTTGAAACTGCGCGCGCGCGCGCTGTTCCGATTTCCATCGGCTCTGCCGGCGGGAAAGTTGGCTCTGGAATGTCTGGAATGCGGAACTCCTTCCAACGTTCCCCTTTCCCTTCCCGCCTCTCCAATGCTCTCCGCCTCCTGGCGCGCTCCTATGGCCAGCGCTGATTTGGTCAGCTGGTCCATAGACTCCGCCCTGGGCGCCCGGGAAAGTTCATCTTTCACAGCCGAAGAAAGCCCTTCTTCAAAGAGCATTTGAATGGGTTCCGCCGATAAGTCCCACCCCAATCTGTGTATCAGCATGGTGAACTCAGTCCAGTACTCACGTACAGATCGGCTCCCCTGTTTGCAAGCCATTAACTGTCTGCGCACCACTCCCTTTTCAATATCGCTGGAAAACATCAGATCCATGGCGCGAAAGAACTTCATCGTGTCCTTTAGGACGTCACTATGCGCTGCCATCAGGGGTCTAACCCAGTCTCTCGCCCCCTTTTCAAGATGCCCAATCACAAAAGCCACTCGTGATTCCTCATCAGGGAAATCATCAAACTGCAGATTGAGGGCATATTGCATTTCTGTCCGAAAGCTATGATAGTCTTTGGGCTCCCCCCCAAATTTCTGCACCAATCCTGGTACCTTTCTGGCGAGCTGGGTGGCTTTCTCCCTTTGTCTGCATCTTGAGCCCTCCTCTCCTCCAGCCTCGCCGTCTGCAGCGCCAGCTGGACCTCCAACACCCGGTACCTTTCTTCCAGGCTTGGACCCGCTCCAGCCCCTGCTTCTCCGGTTCCTGCTGGGTTGCTCATTATGCCTTCTCCTGCACAAGCTGCGTTCAAAGACTGTCGGAATGCTGTGATGGGAAGATGAGCTGCTTGTGCGTAAAATCGTATTCCCTCAGAGTTTGTTCAAGTCCACAAACCTCTGTCTGTGACTGAGCCCCTCTGACATGGCTCCTCTAGTCACTAGAAGATTCCGACAGTGGCTGCTTTCGTAATCGCTTCCAACATAAAAGCTCCTTAACGGAAACACGTCTTCTGGACTCTCTGCGTGACAGTTTCCAGCGAGGAGTGGGTGTCCCAACAGGAGGTCCGGAAACCTCACCACTGTTTTCGCTGGAAGTATCTCTGAGCCATCCCCCCCAGCTCCCTTTCCCTCAGTTCAGCTTCTCTCCCCCTGCTGGTTTCCTCTTCAGCTGCTGCGCCTCTGCCACCCTGTCTGAGCCCTTTCACCTCCCTCAGTTCAGCTTCTCTCCCCTTGCTGGTTCCCACTTCCGCTGCTGAGTCTCTTCCAACCTGTCTGAGTCCTTTCACCTCCCTTCCTTCCGATGGCAGTTCCCTGACACTATATAAGTCACTTCAAACTGTATACAGCTCTCCGGTTGTATTTTCATTTACCCCAACCTTCCACCAAGGGGCTCCAAGCAAGAAGCATAGTCCATTTTTTCCTTACAACAACCCTGTGAGGTAGATTAGCCTGGAAATGGTAACTGGGCAAAGCGATCTTCCATGCCTGAGCTGGGATCGCATCAATATCCCACTGAGAAGCAGTGTGATGCGGCAGCTAGAGTGTTGGAACTGACTTGGGGAGTCCTAGGCTTGAATCTCAGTTCACAGAGTGACCCCTGAGCCCATCGCCCCCCTAATCTGCCTCACAGGGTTGGTGTGAGAATGAAGTAGGCTGCCCTAAGCTAAAGCATTGCTGCTTTGGATTCTCTGTGACATTGCAAGGGACCCTTAAGCACACCTCTTGCGTTTTATCCACCTTCCTTCTGCGACCCTTACGAAATCTGAGATTGCTTGTGCAGTTGACCTGGCCTTATCCCCTATCAGAGATCTGATTTCAACAAGGGGAGGAGGAATGATTCTACTCTAAGGCAGAAGCAAGAAGGAACAGCACACACACACACACACACAGAGAGAGAGAGAGAGAGAGAGAGAGAGAGCCATGTTGACAGGCAAACAAAACAACACTGTTTTGCAGCTCGAGAAACTGGCAAAATCCCATAGGAAGGGCCATCCTTCAGCTTTTTAAATGCCTTGGGGCAGGGGAGAGAGGAGGAGGAGGAAATGCTCCAAGCCTGAAAGCTCTGAGAAGACCATAGCAACAAAAAGAAAAGGACAGCTTACCCTGGATGCTTTTCCGCCAAGACCCTGGCACTGCTGCGTAGTTCTCTCGGAGCTGTTCAGGAAGAGGTGCTGGCAGTTTACAAAAGTCCTTCCCAGAGGCCAACAGGTGCCTTGCTGTGCCTTGGGCAATCTTCCGTACGAAATAGCGCAAACACTGGGTTAGCCACATATGGAGAGGGTGGAGTCCCTGCTCAAGTATTTTTGCTTCCTGGCTTCCAGGGCCACCCAAACCTGTTCAGTTACAACCGTTCTTTTCTGGATTTGATGATGCCTGTTAACTCCGTATGAGTAAAATGCAAGTCTGCACAGTCAGCTATCATGCACTCCTTGTACTCTGAATGCAACTTAAGGAGATGTTTGTGCAGAGGTAAATCACACCAAGTTCCCTTTTTTTAAAAAAGATTTTTTTATTGATTTCCACAAGCTTTACAAATTTACTTAAATTTCAATATATGTTTTTTCTAATATTTTGACTTCCCACCCTTATCTCTGTGATGTTTTTATTCCCACCTTATAACTATTGCTTTATATAACACACTTTTATCTAATACAATTATCCTCTACAGTGGTACCTCGGGTTACAGATGCTTCAGGTTACAGACGTTTCAGGTTACAGACTCCGCTAACCCAGAAATAGTACCTCGGGTTAAGAACTTTGCTTCAGGATGAGAACAGAAATCGCACGGTGGCAGCGGGAGGCCCCATTAGCTAAAGTGGTACCTCAGGTTAAGAACAGTTTCAGGTTAAGAACGGACTCCAGAACGAATTAAGTTCTTAACCCAAGGTACCACTGTATTTCACTTATCATTGTTTTCATCCTGCTGCTCATAATTCGAACCCTGACCACATTTTCATTTGACTGTAGCAGCTCTTCAAATAGTCTGAAATGGAAAATGTCATTTTCCATCAACAGTTCCATGAACAGTTCATCTCTTTTATCTCTTATTTTTGCTGTTAATTTCTCCATTTCCACATAGTCCATTAACTTTTGAAGCCATTCCTCCTTGGTTAGTACTTCTCATTCTTTCCATTTCTGCACACACAGGATTCTGGCTGCTGTTATTGCTTACGTAAATAGTTTAACCATCTTTTTCGGAACCTCCATCCCTATTATCCCTAGGAGGAAAGCTTCGGGACTTTTGAGAATAACCAATTTGAACATTTTGCATGTAAATCACACTGAGTGCCATATCCATAAGATAAAGGTGGAAAGGGTAAAAAGGAAGCAGGATATAAAAAGTTAAGGGTTACACACACACACACACACACACACACACACACACACACGGTATTGCTGAAGAGAGTCCCAAGGGAAACATGGAGACCCACAGCGTTTCCAGGGGTCAGCAAACTTTTTCAGCAGGGGGCCGGTTCACTGTCCCTCAGATCTTGTGGGGGGCTGGACTATATTTTGAAAAAAAGAATGAATGAATTCCTATGCCCCACAAATAACCCAGAAATGCATTTTAAATAAAAGCACACATTCTACTCACGTAAAAACACCAGGCAGGCCCCACAAATAACCCAGAGATGCATTTTAAATAAAAGAACACATTCTACCCATATAAAAGCATGCCGATTCCCGGACCATCCGCAGGCCAGATTTAGAAGGCGATTGGGCCGGATCTGGCCCCTGGGCCTTAGTTTGCCTACCCATGGTTTAGGCCATCCTGGAACTCCAGGAATTATTAGGAATAATGAGCAATGTTTTCATAGGCAAACCAGTGTAATAAAACATTATCTTTATAAAGGGCAATAACTAGCGTTTCTTGTACACTTCAAGTCATAAATAATAATGGACACTGAAGATCAGCAAAGATTACAATCACAGAACGATTTCCTTTCTTCCCTCCCCCCTTTGGCATTGCAAAATAAATATTTAGATGTGACAATTACCCTCTATTCATTATTTTTGCTGAATCTTCTCCAACCAGATATTTTGGAAAGTGGTTTGTTTGTTCACTATGAATTGGGACAGCTCTTAAGGTATTGTAACCAAATTTTCCATGATGGTTCCTGAGATCAAGGAGCAGCTTGTTTGGATACAATAGGCCACCATTTTGAATCAAGATGGCGAGCCGAACCTTTTAAAACTGCTCTGATGTTTTGGTTTCTTAGACTTCCTGAGTAATGCTGGGTACAATACTGCTAGCATGTGATAACTGGCGACCATTCTTCTGGAAAGGCAGCAACCACAAAGAACCAGCTACATGCATCTTTAACGTGGGCTGAAAGCTTGTTTTGGATCATTCCTCTTGCTTGCCTGGATAGAGAAGAATGTGGAACCTCTGCTGATTGCACGGCTGGAATGTAGCCTATGGTACAAAGCATCACATCTGTTGCACCACCAGCTTCAATTTATGGTCCTGCCCAGTGCTATTTTTCTAGAAAAAGAGGGGCTGGAGCTCACCATGAACTTCTCCCTTGTTCTCTTAGAATGGCAATGTTGCCCACCAGAGATGCCGGAGCCAAGCTCTGGCTGAAAAAAAGCCCTGGTCCCACCAGGACCCACCAGAGAGCCAGTGTGGTGTAGTGGCTAAGAGCGGTGGACTCATAATCTGGGGTTCATGTCTCCACTCCTCCACATGCAGCTGCTGGGTGACCTTGGGCCAGTCACACTTCTCTGAAGTCTCTCAGCCCCACTCACCTCACAGAGTATTTGTTGTGGGGGAGGAAGGGAAAGGAGAATGTTAGCCGCTTTGAGACTCCCTAGGGTAGTGATAAAGCGGGATATCAAATCCAAACTCTTCTTCTTCTTCTTCTACCACTGACATGTGGCCCCTGGAAGGCTGTCCAAGGGCCAGTGTGGCCCTTAAGCTGAACAAAGTTCCCCACCCCTGCTTACGTTAGGGGAGGGGATCAGGAATGGGTTTAGATGCCAAGCAAGTGCACTGGATGCCATCCATGGTTCTCAGGTGGTCACCCATCCAGGCTCCGGCCAGACTCAGTCCTTCACAAAGGTGGTGGCCTCAAGTGCCTTCCAACCAAACCTTGTTATTGTAAAGTTTGCTAATGATAGACCTCACTTGTTTCAGTTCATTACTGGCAAATCTGTGTCTGTTCTTAATAGATGCCTGAGAAACACCACTGACTCTATAATGCCCAGATGCTTGGGTCCATACACCTTGTCTCCTTTTAATAAGACCAGTCCATAACTTGCCTGTGCTAAGCAGGATGTCCTCCTCTGGGCTTTGCCCTGCTGTATTTGCCCTGGTGGATATTCATTTTCCTTTATTTGCTTGAGGTTTATTCCACCCTCTGCGGCACTCATTATCCAGACATTTCTCTTTAACGTGCCACCTGACTTGGCCTGATCTCAGCCTGACTCATGCATTCCAGAAATTAAAATACTCCCTTGCTTTCTTTCTGTTTTCCTTCTGCCTACTTGCAGATAACATCGGCATGGAAAGAAAGGAGAAGAAATGTGGGGTTTTTTGGGTGGGGGTGGTAGAAAACTGCTTCCAAGCCCACCCACCAGAGAAGTGAATGGATACGGCTCTCCAGAGAAGCGATGTGAGGAGGTGCTGGTGAAAAACTGGATGTGGGGTGTGTGTGTGTGCATTTGGGGAGGGGTCACTTCTTCTGAACACAGCTGACTCACAGACACTCCATCACTCCCTCTGCACCATGGGCTGTCCACACCCACAGCGTCCCCTGCCCTGCCCCTCTCCCTGCTGAAATCAGGATTGAAAGGAGCCTTCCATTGGCTCCAATAAAAGGCTTTCCCAAGCCTAATAGTTATACAAGGTGGCCAGTGGGGAAGAGAGACCATCTTCCTGGAGATTACAGCTGGAGAGGAAAAGTCAAGTCCCCCCTCCCCAGCTGTACTCTCCCAGAAGCCTACTTCAAAATAGGCTTACAAAATTGAAAAGCCAGTGTGCACAGGTGTGTGCAGTTGTTTGCAGTATATGCACAATGCCCACAATTGTTGGTATCCCTTTTTGGGCCCATGGGAAGGTGGTGGGCTCCCCTTCATTGGAGTTTGTTTAAAACTGAAAACCCTGTGAGATTAGGCAGAGTGGCCCAAGGTGCTTCCTGACTGAATCTTTAAAGCTGAGTCTCCCACATATTAACACAACACTTGAACCACTACACGACACTGCCTCTCTGTGCATTCAGGTTATTAAAGCCCTACGGGTTATAAAGGCTCCCCAGTATGAATGAGAGGATTGTAGCCTTTACAACAGGAGTGGAGACCAGATGAACTTATGAAGCTGCCTTGGAGAGAGTCAGATCATTGGTCTATCTAGTTCAGTATTGTTGGCACTGGCAGGCAGTGACTCCAGGGTTTCAGGTAGGAGACTTTATCAGTCCTTCCTGGAGATGTTGGGATTGAACCTGCAACCTTCTCTGTGCAAAGCAGATGCTTTCCTACTGAGCTATGAATCATCCAAACCTTATGTCCTCCAGATGTTGTGGATTCCAACTCCCATCAGCCCTAGCCAACATGGCAAATGGTGAGGGATAATGGGAGTTGCAGCCTATCAATGTCTGAAGGCTCCTCATCCCTGCTTGGCAATAATGGCAGCTGGTAGTGCTGACCAGAACTTCTGCTGTCCTCTGAATATCAAAATCTGGAGGCACAATTGGGTGGCGCTGTGGTCTAAACCACAGAGCCTAGGGCTTGCTGATCAGAAGGTTGGCAGTTCAAATCCCCATGACGGGGTGAGCTCCCGTTGCTCGGTCCCTGCTCCTGCCAACCTAGCAGTTTGAAAGCATGTCAAAGTGCAAGTAGAAAAATAGGTACTGCTCCGGCGGGAAGGTAAACGGTGTTTCTGTGTGCTGCTCTGGTTCGCCAGAAGCAGCTTAGTTATGCTGGCCACATGACCCGGAAACTGTCTGTGGACAAATGCCGGCTCCCTCAGCCAATAAAGCGAGATGAGCACCGCAACCCCAGAGTCATCTGTGGCTGGACCTAACAGTCAGGACTCCCTTTACCTTTATTTGCATGCCTTACTCGTGGTTGTCTCAGGATCACCTGGTTGGTCACTGCTGAAAACAAATTATTGGCGTGAGATGAATCCTTTGTTCAGTTAGTTAATTTATTATGTCTTTATATTCATGCAATTTCCTTAGCCTCAGGTTGCCCCCCAAAGTGGGATAAATTACAACTGGCTTTGTTAATCCAACAATCAGATCGTGTTCCCATAAGCACCTGAAGGGTGTGTG